CTAATGTCAGTCATGTTGGCCCTGTCATTCCTCAAGTGGCCTTTTGCCTCGTAAGCGATAGCCTGAGAAAGTCCAGCAATCTTATCATCGGAGGGAGCCCACAGAAAGGAGAGGAGAGCCAGACTGTAAGGACGGCTGCTCAGGAACGAATGAAACAGACACAACACACTCACATATCTGCAAACAAATAATTGCTTTGATAACGGATAAAGATTAATGAGATAACTGTGGGAAAAAATCTCAAAACAGTGCTCATATACATCAAGAAGTTACTGGGTGAGGCTGGGTTTTTATTTGAGCTGTGTGCTTTTCCAGACCATGCCACTTCTTACCACATTTTAGCCCATTAATTAGCCTACACATTTATTTTTTTTAAATGGTTACTGACATTTTCCCAAATCATACAATTAGATTCAATATGTATATATCTGGTTTGTCCCTTTCCATAGAGGCAGGTTTTGTATGCTGATACAGGAGTATCAGGCAGTGTCAGTGCCAGCTATGCTCTGATTGGTCCAGTCGGAGAATAGATTGGCTCTTTTATTATGCAGATCACAACCAGCTGAGTGATGATGATCTCTGTTAGATCAATAGATTTCTCTGATAAATTAAATATACTGAGAACTCTCAGTACAGTGTGCAGTCTGACTTTGTCTTCAGGTTTTAGATGTGTGTGCTCTACACTCCATACAATACCATAACTTTTTACCTTGATTTCCTAATCATCCAGGCCACTAGTCATAATTAATTTCATAATGTTCAACTTGTACAGATCTGAAATGCTATTGATGTAGCAATACAGTTTCAATCAGAGACTTTTTCAAAACCTCGTGCACTTAAGGACAAACGTGGATGATTGAGAAGGGTAATAACAGTATGGTTGCTTCTTGAATGAAGAAGGCTGCCATGTGTGAAAACTTTGATGTCGGAGCCTCTTTTGAAGCGCCAACAAGGGAGAGAAGTTTTTCTCCACAAGTCACTGAAATGAACTGAATGGGATAATCAGTGGGACATTGTGCAAGTAATTAACTAAAAATCTATATCCAGTTATATGTTCCTTTATGTAAAAAAACTGACAGGAAATTTCATGTCTGTCAAATTGTGGGCAGTGGTCAGACAATGTCCTCTACAGCTACATATACTCACAGGCAGCACAGTCCCACTGCAACTACTGCCTAGCATTTATATCCCACTTGTATGAGAGCAGCAGTAGTCTGATGCTCAGGCTCTTTGGTATATCTCAAGTGGATGCTGTGTCAGTCCTGGGAATCCTAAAACACAGATAAAGCTGCCGTTGCTGATGACTGGAGAGCTGCCGTAGCACTAGAGAGTGCGGGGACGGGGAGAGGGGCCATCAGATAGACGAGGAGGGTGAGGGATGGTTTCACAGAGGACGGGATATGAGGCAAAGGCAGGCTGGAGCTCGATATCTCTGCGTGAGGATTAACTGATATCGCAGGCAATGTAACCTCCTTCAGTCCAGTTTGTTCTGGTCCCAGAGAGTTAGGGGACAGAGAGTACAAATGCCCTATCTGGATGTTGTTCTCCATAAATAACTTTTTATAACTAGCCCATTGTTTACTCAGGTGTGTGCATTACCTCCTACACACACACACAGGCATCCCTTATTTCACAGAAAAGCCTGTTCCTTGTGCTGGACCACTGAGGATTAGTCCAATGGAAATTTTGTGTTTCATTCACTTGTCTGTCAGCCTGTCTTTCTTTTTGGCTCTTGTCTCATATTTATCTAAAATACCTTAATAATCTAATTGCTATAGACACTCCAGTGTTCAGGCTGCATTAATCAGTTTCAGTAGCACTGTCAGGGGGATTAGCCTCCTTAAAACAAATACAAATAAAACAATATATATTATCTGTAAACCTAACTTGGATATTAAAATGCCACATAATCAGTTCTTTCAACACAAAAATACCAAATTTCTTTTTCACAAGTGTAAATGTCATCCCATATGAAATCAACTACAGTATGCTCATTAAAGGAGATATACGTGTGGATATCAATGTCTGTAAATACAATGAATTTATACTTAAAAAAGCTATATCAAAAGGTAAAGCAAAGTAAGTACACCTTTAAATCTGTAAATGCATTGATAGATGTTTAAATTGAAAACTATTATATCTGGGGTAAGATGCAGTATATTCAGTCCCAAATACATTTATAAAAACAGCTGCATTTCAAAATGTTTTTCTATGGCATGTACTGTATAATACATGAAAGTGTACATTTCTTGTGTGCCAATGTTTTACATTTCATTTTTGCTAATAGATTAACAATATAATCTATTGTTTTAGTTTTTGTAATGATATGTAGCTTTCTCTGCACTTATGAGATAAAAGTAAAAACTTAAAATACAAAAACATGAATAATACCTGGCACTATTAAGTTATAAATATACTTTGGATTTCTTTTAATTAATAAAATGAATGTTGATACAGTTGTGACTTATCTGCACAGCAAACTGAAACTCTAGTTTGTGAGTTTTATGAATAGATGTTTTTTGGAAGGTCCCCCCTGCTATGAAATATAGCAGCGCTCTGGTAACTCTGCCCTGTTTGGACCAAATACATTTCCCACCTAACACCTATTTTCTTCCATCTTTAGCAGCACTCTCGTAGACGACTGGAAGGCACAGATCTTTATGGAAGACCCTTCTGCAGACGAGCAATGACAGCTATGAATAACCTATGATAGCATGTGCGCATTTCATCAGAAACAGCTTACACTGTAACCACATCCAGATGGAATGAGCAACTTGTCTCCCTCACTTTCATTGGTGTAGCGTTGCTCTTGCCTCTGAGGCTGCTGTGCATGTGGTCATGTTTTGCACCTTCCCAGCATCTGAAGAAATGAGAGAATTCTCCTTTGCCCGATGATCGACTGCTGTATCTTCTGCAGGAAATAAATTACTTGATCATTTGACATGTGGCCAGAAAAAAAAACAGCCAGAGGTGATGCTCTCAGATGTGAGGCGACCAGTCCATTATTAAGGATAGAAAAACATAACAAGTTTAGTAAGATTTTGCTGATGAATATAATCCCAAAGATTTGTTTAAAATAATAAAGTTAAACTATGACAATTTATGCCTCAATTCAAATTAGCATTAGAGCATAATTTGGTTAATTTAGTTTGAATTTAGTGAGTTTAGTTTGGTTTAGTATGGTGAAAATATAAACACATCAACCCTTAAAGCTGGTGTGGGCAATGTTGGAGAAACTAGCAAGAGAGCTACATTTTTGAAAGTTTCCACCAGAAATATTCCAACCTTCACACCATCATAGCCACGCCCCCACATAATGGCAGATATCAAAAGTACGACAGTCAGCTAAACTGAACCTTACAGTACACACTTGAATCATCATTCTTATACTACAATATTACAACTTACAGGTTTTCTAAATATTGGCACTCTCAAATGAATATTACAGAAAAATATTGACATTTCTAATAATTGTTTTAATAATATACTTTGTATGGCTTTGTTTAGGCATCCAAACTGAATCTGGATATTAATACTTAAACCAATTATTGTTCCAGTGACATTGCATTTCATAATATATACAAGCCATCACAATTTTCCCCTTTCCTCCTCTCAGTCCTTTCTCCTCTTGCCATACCAGTGACCTGCCACAAGTGGTGGTGAATAAACTGTGGAACACAGTGGTCTTGTAAACTTCTAGGACACCCTCATACACGTGCAGTGTTAGTTTTCCACCAAAAGGGTGCAGCATCGTACATTATGAAGATACTATACTATAGCAAGACTGTAAGCGGTGGCTTAAAGGCCTTCACTGAACACCTTCATTTGGTGGAAATTAATAAGGAGAAGGATAATGAAAAGCTGGATGTTGTAGACCGTGCAGTCTCCCTAGAGAAGTAGGTGGACTCCATTTTGAGGTTCACAGAAAACCCACTTACACACCAAGTCATTTTTCATTCACACCATAAACAGAAGCACAAACTGGAAGCAATCCAGACTTTATACCAGCAGGAAGAAACAACAGTCAAATATAAAATGCTAAAGACAGGGAACAAAGTCCCATCAAGCCGTCTTTCAATTCCTGTGGTTACCCTGACTGGGCTTTCATTAAATTAGTAACTTAATGTTGAAAAGACCAAATAAAGTCAGACCATAGATCCCCAGACAACATAACCCCATTTAATGGAGCTATATCATCATCCCATATGTAGAAGGGGTTCCTCAGGTCTTAAAGATTGCTGCTTTTTAAAAGTTATGGACCAGAACCAGTACTGTCTTTTGCAGCAAGACTGTACAGATCTGTGAAACCAGGGAATCCCTGGTCATACTACTACATACTAGGTGCGGCATAGAGCCCTTTTGGCTAAGACTTAGTAGATGTAAGAAACACAGCTTCAAGAATGAAAACGAAGTGGATACGCCCTCATTAAAACAGAGAGGGGAGACCCTTTTTAGCACACCAACTTCACACCATTCACTACCTGGAGAAGTAAACTCATGCACAGAGGCTTCCTCTGAGTGGTTGTCCTCATTTACGTTTATTTTTTTCTGCTAAACAACAAATGAAGGAGCAATTCCGATGCATGGTCTTAAAATGTTCAATAACAAACAGCAGCCATTGGCTGCATTATGGGAAATAGGGCTACACAGCTAACGATTTTTTTCCATTGTCAGTTAATCTGTTGATTATTTTCTCAATCTGTTTGGTCTATAAATGTCAGAGAAAGACAAAATATGTAAATTACTGTCTCCTAAAGCCTGAGATGATGTCCTCAAATGTCTTGTTTTGTCCACAACCCAAAGTTATTCAGTTTAGTGTTATAGATGAGTAAAGTAACAAGAACATATTCACACTTAAGACTTTTTTTCTTAAAAGATTCCTCAAACCGATTATGAAATTAGTTTGAAATTGCAATTTAGTCATTGCAGCTCTAACGGGAAATGTGGGATCTGGTGGTGTTTTATATTGTGTCTCCGCCCACTTTATAGAAGTAGAATACTGAAACTCTGCAGTGCTTCTTTAATATGAATAACTTCAAGAGAACAGGCTGTAGAACAATTGTTCATGAAAGACACATTTTTCCAAATAAATGTACCAATCTACACATTGCATAATTAACACACTTGTTTTTGTTGTATGCAAATGAAGATGACACCAAATATTGCCTTATTCACATTTGTATTTTGCCAGCAGTTAATGATGTTTATATCTCGGTACTCAAAAACCGCCAACATGCATAAAAAGAGGAAAACCCAAAACATTAGATCATTCTTTTACACACTGTGTTCAGTAGGAAATGAGGGGAAAAGCTCATCTCTACATTCTAGAAATGCTTTCCTCAACTCATCTTCTACTTTAATCCACAATCATTAAATACTGCGTGAAATTATTTAAGGTGGTTTGGGAAGATAATGGTTTTCATCATCCAGTCCCTCACGGTGCCCTCCATCTCAACTATCTCACACCAGTGTCCCTCCATGACAGTTCTCCCTCTGTGTCCTCCTCAGAGTTTCTTCCTCATCTTACCCTTCTTTTGACCACCGCGTCCAAAACCTGACTTCTTAACTTCTCCGACCCACTGCTTGTTCTTGTTACGGAGATTCTTCAGGCCTCCACTCTGTAGGAACTGGTGCTTCTGCTTTTTCTTTCGCTGCTTCAGGATCTGCTCCTTCGTCTTCAGCTCTGACCGCACTGTGCGGCCACCAGGCGTCTGCTGCAGTCCTGTAGGCCTCTGGAAGTTAGGGCTCTGGAAGTTAGGACCTCCTCGACCTCGACCACGGCCACAACCACGACCACGACCACGACCTGGGAGAGACGGATGACGCAGAAACGAGGATTATATTAAATATTTCTTGATGGTACACAAACTGAAAACAGCTTGCAGAAAGTGACTCCGAGTCACAACACCTTTGCAGATTGGGTTATTAAAATTCAACATTGCAATAGGATAATTTGTCATAAAGCAGCAGTTGGTAACAATTGAACATAAAATGCCAAACCTTCCGCTTCTCTCTCTGCTGCTATCATTCTGCTAAGCCCCTCCCACCAAACCCACAAACAGGAGCCAGCAGCCCTTCAAAACTTCATCCCCCTCAGGGCTCGCTCTCCACAGCCAAAAGCCTTGCCAAGACCCGTCCCCCTCGCATCAACTCCAACTCTTCGCTTATTCCTCACTGTTTGTCATTATGCCTCTTTGCCACTCACCGACATGAGCGCCATGGCATCGAACATAATGAGCCCGAAGTTCTGTTAGGAGCCGGGACGTGATCACACACGTGTTTTGTACTATACGCTGTTTATGGCAAAGGAGAGATGGGAATTTCTTTCATTGCTGGTGGTTGTTTCTTCAGACACCTTCTAAAGCCGCGCTGAAGGTGTTGAGCTTGTGTGAGGGAGAGCATGCGTGAGGAGGGGCGGTTGAGCAGCATGTGCACGAGCAGTTATTAACACTGCATTAGAGACTCCTACTGGCTTTGATTGGTTGTTTTGTTTAGGAAGCAGTGGATTCTCATTAGGAGCAAAAGGAGGTGGCAGAGGAACTGTATTTTTCCCCCAACAGATTATTGGTCTGTCAGGCTACAGTGACAGTTAGATGAGCAATATCGCTCTCATAGCTGTCCGTTAAAAAAATAACGCCAGTTAGCTTAGCACAAAGACTGTAAACAGGGAGAAAACAGCTGGCTTTGCTCTGTTTAAAAGGTAACAAAATATACCTACTAACACATAAAACCAACATTGGTTTAATACAGATTAAAATAACAAATAACATGTTAATTAAACAGTTTTTAAAAGGTGGAACTAAGCGTATATTGTTAGACTCAGGCCAGTGGTTTCCCCCTGGTTCCAGTCTTTTTTCCATTCTTACTTTCTTTTAAACAGTCCATCAGATATGATAATGGATTTGTTTTCAAGAGTTCAAGTTGAGACTACAGATGCTCCTCTACCTCCTGCTGGCTTCTTTCCTCCTCGTCCTCCTCCTGTTTCTCCATCTGAGCCAGATCCTCCGTCGTCAAACTTGTATTTTTTCTTCCACTCCTCATAACTGACATGTCGTTAAGTCATACAACATCTCAACAAAACAGTTAAATATTGTCAGAGCGAGAGAGAACAGTAATAGCAAACAAGTATACGAACAGAGACTTTGTCGGAAGGATACAAGTTCTTCCTGTTCTTCTTGTTACTGATGACCTGTCCACCGTCTGTTCTGATCTTGTTCTTCTGGTCCTCCTTTCCTGTTTCTCTCACAAAGCGTTTCCTCTTGCGGTCCCTACAAATGATAGACAGACCCTAAATTATCGTATGAAATGGTAGAATCATAAACAAGAGCTGAAATAGAAGGACAGAGATGGCTTTAGATTGAATCCAAATTTTCACCATTTCATTATATTTTTGTGCTGGTTTAACCGGCTTCCCTCATCTCCCATGAGGTCCAGGACTGCTGAGGAGGCCTGCTGTTCAAAAGCAGTGCCCTCTCCGCCGAGACTTAACCTAACACCACACAGAACATGAGTCACAGGTTAGAACACACAGATACTACATTTAAAATCCTGTCTGATGCCAATCTTTCTAAATAAAATTTTAAAAAATCTCACCCTCTCTCGGAGTTGAAGTCTTTGGGTCTGTAGGGGATGTAATGCTCCTCATCTTTGCCTGACTGTCTGCTTCTTTTCTTTGGCCATTCTTTCCCATCTTCCTGCTGGCCTCTCCTTTTAACACCTACCATAGCAGAGAACACCCCCTGTAGGAAAAACAAAGAAGTGCATGTGAAAAAAAACAAATCTAGATTGGCATTTAAAGTGCTTAGTTGTAACAATATTTATATTAATATAGTAGAGATGGTGCATTGTGCAAAGTATTTTGATCAAGAAATAATCTTTTAAGTCACTGTCAAGCAAAGATACCACACCATCCACTCGTCCCAGCGACGCAACTCAATCTTATGAGATAATAAATTGAATAACTTGGGGTTTTGGACTCTTGGTCAAACTAAATAAGACACCTGAAGACATCTACTACGACATTTTTATCAATTCTTCATAAAATCGATAATGAAAAGGATCTTCTGCAGTCTGAATATCTTTAGACATACAATGGATAATTAGATTGTGTTGGTGTTAGGTGACATATCTTTCAACTGAATGAACTACAGATTAGCAAAACACACCAGATGTGGAGCACTCACTAGAGTTTTAGGGTCTGGTTGTACTCTCAGTGCATGTCTTACAAAAATGCTAAAAAAATAAAAAGTTGCTGTATATTTCCAATCATAATACCACAGAGGCATGAGAGTTACTTGCCTTGAGAGTGTCCTCGTCTTTGCTGGAGGAGTGTGTGAAATCATCGGCGGCGGCGGCGGGATTGATGGGCTGCTGCAGCCGGCTTTCTGCGGCCAGGTCGTCCCTGCGTTTGCTGAATTTGTCCATCAGCCGCATGTCCTTGGAGCGTTTGGCCTGCATCACCTCCCTAGCCTGTGTCTTACTGTTAGAGTTGATTTCAAAGATAGTCTACAAGACGATGAAAGGAGAATATTTTTTACGTACAGCATGTTCACAGGTCAGCGGGAAATTGAATGAGATATCAGCATTATTATCTACTGTAACTCACTGATTTAGATTTGTAGCCTTTGATGGCATCAACTATTTGAAGGCGCTCTAGCTCCATTTTCTCCAATCCTGACCCTGAAACAAGATTAATCAAATGCTGTTACTAACTACAGTCTGAATATCATCATCACTGTTCTCTTCAAAGTTCTCCTTCCACTAAACTGACCTAGTAGTGGATGGACGGCCATGCTGGACAGATCTGTGCTTTTGACCCGTCTGATGGACTCAGTTGAGGGGTTTGGTCGAGACTTGAGATACTGCTTGTAGGCATTCTCCGAGACATGACGCAGGTTTTGCAGGTCCAGGGAGTTTTCGTGAGCCGTGATCAGATGAGAACTTTCGTCATCCAGGATACTCTGAGGGACCCGACCGAACACACCTTCTTCTGGAGGAGGGGCGGAGAGGTTCAGATTGGAGAAAGTGACAGCAGAGACATAAAGACTGTGACAGCTAACACATCTACTAGCAGAACATGAATCCAAAGAACAGGCAGGCATTCAGCAAAGCCTACCTTGTGTGTGTTCAAGTGTGGCAAACTGAACAGGCCTTCCAAGGAAGAGGTGAAGGTCGTAGACCAAAGGCATCTCATCTTGGCAAATCATACTGTAGGCTACGCCACTACGCCCAGCACGTCCCACGCGGCCTGATGGGAGAAGACAGATTATGACCGAAATGGTAATCCTCATGTGTCATCCTCATCACACATTATCAAAATCTGGTAAAATGAAAGAAAAATCTCTAATTAAGAGCAAATCTAGATACTAATTTGGTGTAAAAGCCCCTCACCAACTCTGTGCAAGAAGAGCTTGGGCTTGGAGGGGAAGTTGTAGTTGATGACATTGTCCAGCAGGGGGATGTCTATTCCGCGAGCAGCAACATCAGTGACAATCAGCACCATGGCTTTCCGATTTGCAAATTTCCCGATGTTGATCTTCCTGGCAGTCTGATCAAGGGAGCTGTAGATGTAGGCACACTCCAAACCTTCTGAAGTCAGCAGCTGGAGTTCAAAACAAAAGAATCGAATCAAAGCTGTAATTTTACAGAAAATATGAGGAAACTTTCACAACTGGATTTACTAAACCCCGTGAGGGTTCACTGAGGGAAAAAAATACAAAGAGAGACACAACTGAGTTATTCAGCTGTTTGCAGCTTACCTCCTTGAGGTACTCTACATGGTGTTTGGTGGCTACAAAAACCACCGTCTGCTCCTGAGGCTTCACTACGTTCCTCAGCAGATGAAGCAGCAGTGCTGACTTGTCATCCACCCGCAGATAGAAAAACGACAGCTGAGGGAAAAAATGTGAGGTTAACATTTTTTAAGTGTTGGGACAGATATGAAGTAAGGATCGTCAGTCATTTCTGAGTAATAAACTTTTTAACTCTTCATGTAAGTAAGAGCTTGCAAAGAACACCTGAAGGCAGCATAGTGTTTTCCCTAAGGCTGCATGATGATAGGGCAAGTATTGAACCTATGGACCCACAGAGCAGCCGTTTGGCTTTAAACATGTAGATTGTGTTTTAGTAATTTTCCATTCTAAACCATTAATTTCAGGCCATACAGCGTTTTGAAAGATGTCGGAGAACACGAAGATGCACTACTTACCTCGTCATGTTTTAATTTGACTTATAAAACGGGTAGATCAAATCAAGCAATCTCATTTGTTCATAGTAGTGATATAATGAGCGTATACAACGGGTATGACGTCGAATTCCTTTACATTCCTCTGGTATTAAAATGCAATCTGATACAGATCTGATCGGCTACAGATCGCATTTTACCAGTGGAGATAAATAAATCAATAATCACACAAACACACACACACAAAAACAAAGTTTAAGTTTCAATAGCCTGTTCAAAAAAGACTATTGCTCACGGAGAGACGCAATTCCGCCCTTTCTGGTAGGTATAATATAAAAGTGTTATTATTTTAAGCACTGCTGGCCGCTGGCACACAGTGGCAAGCATATTATCATAGGCCTATAAGTACCAATAAGTTACCCAAGTCAATCTCCTGACGCTGGACAGTTTTTAGTGGCTGCACAACGGCAACGATATACCACGGCCTGTCGTGAGCTATTGCTTAAATATAAACCTTCCATTTCAATCAAATAATTAATAACAGAGGTTGAGAGACTGACCTCATTCTTTATAAAACTTGGCTTCTATGGGAAGAACAATTATAGATTATAAGCATTTTTTTTTACCTTAATCTGGTCACTGAGCTTAGAATCCACATCCAAACGAATCAACACTGGTTCAGTCAGCCCTGGAAATATGAAAAAAAAGCTTATTTGGTCAATTTGTGTCTTAGGCACTAATATGTTATTATGCATATTATGATGATGATCTTTAAAAACATCTTCGATCATGATGGATGCATGGAAATCAGAACCGATTGTTGATCTCACCAGCTCTTGCAAACTCCACCAGCAGTTTGGGCAGAGTGGCAGAGAACAGCAGAGTCTGTCTGGTGTCTGGAAGTCTCCGGATGATCTCCTGAAGCTGCTCAGCAAAACCCATTTCAAACAACCTGTGAGGAGGAAGAACACAGACACGTTCACGCTTACATGCGTAAGAGTAAATCTGAGCTGTGAAGTGGAAAAATTACACCTTTAAAAAGGCACAATTCCATTTCTCACCTGTCAGCCTCATCAAACACCACGTACTCCACATTTTGCAACTTCAGGTTCATCTCCTTGACAACGTGCATGAGACGACCGGGGGTGCCGATGATTCTGAGGGAAAAGGACAGAGATTAGAACCGCAATGTATAGTACATGGATGGTGAGAAACAGCGTCATCAGTTAGCACCACAACAAAACACTCACATGTCAGGGTTTTCATGAAGAGCAGCAAACTGATCATCCATTCTGGAAAGGAGCAGATGCATTTATATTGATTTCAGATGAGAAATGTAAACAGAAAACATAATAGCACAAGAATATTGAGAAGTCACACACCTGTCTCCACCAAGGATCAAGGCGGTCTTGAGGCCGGTGAATTTCCCCAACTATAACAACCACAACACAGTGAGGGGAAAAAAAATAAATAATTTTTGTTTCTTTAAATCGGGGACAGCACTGGAAAAACGTCATAGAGGCTCTTTTCTCCCACGAAAAAGCTGATTAACTTTGCAATAATTAAAGACTTATGTTCCAGAAAATATAGCTACATGTAAGATCAGCCAACTTGAACAGCTAGATGAACAACACTCATCAGTCTGACCTCTTTTGTGAACTTCATAGTCTGCAGGGCCAACTCTCTAGTGGGGGTCAGGATGAGGGCTCTGGCTCCTGTTTGGGCTTGACGGGCCTTCAACTTCTCAAACATGGGCACCAGGAAGGCAGCTGTCTTACCACTGCCTGTCCGAGCCATGGCTACTATATCTTTGCCATCCAAAATCACTGGGACAGTCTGAAGTGGTGAAGAGAAGGATTGGACATGAAATACTGCACTGTTAGAAGTCACAAATGTTTCATTACAGAACCCTGAAGTGTACTGACTTACCTTTCTTTGGATCGGAGTAGGGACCTTGTAACCCTTCTTCATGACGCCTTTATATACAGGGTAACTGAGACCTGAAAACAGACATAATGTAATTAAACAATATTGTCTCTGGGGAAACAGTGGATCAGATTAATATATACAGGATTTAGAATACTGTGAGTAGTGGTCGACCAATATGGGTTTCTCAATGGCAGATGCCGATATTAAGAAATATGGGCAGTCGATGGCCGAAGTATAATGCCGATATCAAAACAAAGAAAAGTCATGTATAGCCACATTAAACCATGAAGAGTACAATCTAGTATACATGGTTATTTAGCCAGTAAACTGTTTTATGGAATTTTTATTAATTACTGAAATTGAAAAATACATTTGGCTATGGTGTAGATTTCAGAACGTGATATGTGTTTAAGGTAGAGTGGGGTACAGTTTGTCAGAAGTGACGTCATTCAGCTGCATTATTCTCAACAGTATACCAAAATATATTTAAAACTGCCTGTATAGGTTTTAGATAAGACATGCTTTCAATGCTTTCATTTAGAGTATGACAAAAATGTTAACATTTAGAAAAGACGATGGGGTCACTGAGGAAATTTAGGGGGCCAAACTAACTTTTTCACCATCTTCCCAAAACTCACAGGGAAGAGCACTAACATCATTCATCAGCAGCCACAACTGACAAGGCTGCCTGCAGCTGTGTCTGCATACATTTCTTGTATATTACTCTCATGAGTGGAGGTATTGGCCGATGCCGATTATCTCAAAATGCCAGATATCGGCCTGATTATATCAGCTAACTTTGAGTACCCAGCAGACATGCAGCCCTACAGTACACACTTCACTGGGTCTCACCCATGGACTGAAAGCCTCCAGACTTCTTTTTTTTCTTGTTTTGGGCTCTGACCAGCTGCCTGGTGTCAGGCTCCACATCTGACAGGCAGTCTGAAGAGGTGGGGAACCGCGGCAGTTTCCTCCCTGGCTGTGAGAGCAATAAGAAATGACAACAGCTTGTTAACAACGTGACAAAGGTGCCAAATAAAATCGCTCTGAATTGATCTAATCAGTTGATCTTCTGATGTAAATACACATTTCTCATGGATAATTCTGACAAGATAAGGTAATATTTTATTCTGACACCTTTTTTCTAAACTGCTTTAAGTGTTAAAGAATTATATGGATGTTTAACTATCGTTCATTACAAAGTTCAACTGCTGGACACAGGACTAGTGACTGCTCTCTAATATTTACATAATACCAAAGTGATGTAAGCCTACTAACATCTGAAGGATGCATGGATGTACACATGCACAGCAACAGCTTACTTGTTACACTGTAGACCTACTTGTGCATTGAAGCCTTCCAATGTTCATGTGTGTAATTATAAAGTGACAGACAGAGATTAAACAGATAGAGTGACAACAATACACGTTACTACAAAATATTATAATGTCATCATTTATATTATATAATAACCAAGTAAATTAGATGTTTCTGAACATATTTAAACATTTAAGAAGAATTCAGGGGGCATCCGGATTTGAACCGGAGACCTCTTGATCTGCAGTCAAATGCTCTACCACTGAGCTATACCCCCGACAGTTAAACAGAGGGTGGTAAACACACGTGGTGTGAGAAACTGTTACTGCCTTATAACATTACTACTGTGTTTATGTCAATACAGCAAACGCTGAGTTAGTTGCTTTAATTAAAGCAGTGTTCCTTACAGAATCATCGTCCTTAATTTCAGCAGCCAGTTCAAAGTCTCCGCCGTCAGAGTCCGGCTCCGGCTCTCTGTTGGGTGTGTATCTCTTCTTCTTCGTCAGTTTCTTCTTTCTCTGGGCCATCCTGACGCTGTCAGTCTCTTCTAGGCTGAACTCGGTATCTTTACTGTAGAGGTTATGAAATAAAACGACATCAAACTAGTCTTCAACACAGTCCATGTCACCTCAACTCACAACAACACGGTGGGCAGACATGTTAGATACACGTGTGAGCGTCTTCTTCTTCTTCTTCTTCTTCTTCTTTTTCTTCTTCTTCTCCTTCCGTTTTGCTGGTCATTTCAAGCTCAACACCGCCGTCTACTGCTACGGAGTGTGAGGTCCAATCGGTGTATTCATAATTATAATTATACTCAATTTACTCCCCCTCCATTTCTTCTTGGGCCCTAATATTGTTGGTTGTGTAATTTCTATTATCTTTAACTCCTTACTACGCCTTACAATCTAGTTTCTGATGTAACAATATCTCATTTACTCACAGAGGACACAGATTTGATGAGCTGAACTTCAAAGCCAATAATGCACCAGCTAAATCTAACCATATAACAGAATTTTCCGGTCTTTGGCCCTTCAAAGCCCTAATTAATATCAGTAATTCAGTGGAGAAGACTGATATTTTGTTTGAAATCTATAGCAGAAGCAAAGGAGCACTATATCCCTTTTGGTCCATAAAAATCTGCACTTAATCATGTGCTTTTTATTTTTGGTCAAGCTACTTAATTTCTATTATTAGTGATAAATCAGTTTTTGCAAGAGTAGAGTGACATTTATCTCTAAATGTATTCATCCAGTGTTCATGCTTTCATTGCACTAATACAAACAGAGAGAAAAAATTTGTTTACATGAATATTCAAAAGAAATGTAATTTTTCAAAGCTTTTGTGTGGCTGGCTTTCCACCTGATTTATGAGCAAGAACGTGCAGCATCCTAATGCTAGTGCCTCATACACTGTGAATGTGTACACTGAATTTGTGTACTCTTGATAAGGTAGCACATTGTCGCGTAGCAGAGTTTGAAACTTGATTACACCCTAATTTCTGAGCAGCAATGTCTCTGGTGCTGAGATGTACTGAGATACTGAGATACACAGTCCAATACTGAGGTGCTTTATCTTTCTTCCTCAGTTAGTAGACATAAATTCAAATCTTTTGAACGAAACATCAAACTAAACACTCTGATGTTGTATAACTAAAAGAACAGGGAAGAGTGAAGTCATCTGCAATCACTGAAATTAAATTAGTTTACTTTGACATTATTTTCCCCCCTTTGTCTGTAGTGTTTGGTATGGCAAGAAAAGCTGGCAGTACTCAGTGTGACACATGTCCTGTAAACTCATACTGAGGTTGTTAGGTTGCACATTTTGTGAAAATTATCAATGAAAAATTAACAAAGCTGTTTTTTGACCTAGAATCAGATGTAGCTTAGCCACTGGAAACCCATGAAGTGTTAAAAATATTATTTAAGCAATATGTATGAGAAAAGTATAGTATGTCCTAATATGCCTTTATTGTGATGACTATTTATTTACGTAACTCAAAACTCAGGGGACCACAGAAGATGATCAGTGCTTTTCTTTTTGTTGCATAACCTTTCATGAAGTGACTACATAGGACATTTTTGCAGGCAAAGCCTACCCATCCATGCAACAACTGTCACACTTATGCTGCTGGATTCCTGAAATATGTTACGAGATTTAAAAAAAATAATTTTAGTCCACTGCACAAACATACGCTTACAGAACAGTTAGGTTTCAGCAGACATTTTGCTCTATGCTCAATTTAGAATTCTGTCCTTAAAGGCAATATTTATTACTTTACTAAACTATCATAAGTAATTGTTTAAAATAGTGTTAGTATTCAACACAGAGCTTTATTTTGTCATTTCTTTTCAAATGATACCATGCCATTGCTGATGACATAACATAACAGAGCTCTCCCTCCATTCATATATACATTACCCTCCCAAAGCCTGTATGGAAGACCTTCGCCTCTGATCTTAACAGCGTTGAATTAAGATTATTCTTACACAATCAGTTGAAGATGTAATGTGATCAAATATGAGTTTCTTCTCTTACTCATTTTGATTTTGCCAAAATCAGTTTAGGATAAGTCATTTTGTGAGAATTTGTCCTTAAGCCCATTCACTTCTCTAGCGCATTGATTATTGGGCAGTGTAAATGTCATTGACGTGTCCCACATGTGGTTTCATTAAAATGTGGGGCCAGCTGCTGCTCAAGAAAACAGCTGCCCAAGACATCAAAAACCCAAATGAGCTCTGAGATGCATGTTATTCATTAGGAGCCAATGTCAGAGAAAGCTCTCAACTGTGTTTTTCATCCTATTTTAAATAAACATCATATCTGTTTAGATCTCATCGGGATGCAAATGTTTTTTAATTTTTTTGTGTCATTAATGAAAACCAATATATAAAGTGGGGATTTGATTTTGGCAAAAGATAATAATAAGGCACATGTTCAATTGGTCAGTATTTCTACAGCTTACAGAACTTTTTGCATTTGCTCATAACTTTCTGTTGTTCACAAGCAGCCACTGTTTAATTTTTTAAATCACCCCGTGGAAATGTGTCCTTTGGATGATAACACTGACACTAATATGGCAGCCAAAACCTGTACAGCGCTGTTTGAAGTCAGTGGGCTGATGTACAGTAAATAAGTCCAACACCATGGCAACAGCCTGGAGCTAATGCCATTCATACTCCCTCACAGAGCCTGGCTGCGGTGGCCTAGAGCCAAATGTGTTCGGGTAGCTGAGAGGGATGGCGGGTTTACACGCAGGCAAAAGGTGCAGCAGGCCACCCATAGGATCCGCTTTTGTTTTTAAAGGTGATGTAAGTGATAAAGCCTGAGGGTATTATAGTAAGACATGGGGTGGTTGTGGCAGTTTCGACTAGGCATTCAAATAAACCCGGTGCTGGCATCAGTGTTCTATCGGGTCAGCCTTACAAAGCTCCTGGCAGCATCTTAACTCTCATTTTCCACACTGTGTCAACCCTTCATGTTGAAAACATGCTCCTGAATCACTGCTCCATCTCCACGTGATGTGATTCAGGCAATTTATTTCCTGATGATGCACTTTCTTTTAATCATGAGGCAGGGCTTTAAATGTTTCTGTTGATGTGTATCATAGACAGTGAAAGAAAATAGAGCACCGTGTTTTGATTTTCCTGTCTAGATAACGCCCCACCTCTGACAAATCTCCAAAGAGCTCTGTTGTTGATTTCACAAAGTATGGCAATACTCTTTAAATGACAAAAATAAATAGATTCATGAGGACTTAATGCAGGCCAAGGCTAAGCTGCATGAGCTATAGAGGACTTACATCTGACCTTTCAAAGATCTGCAATGTAAACTGAGTCAGTAAAACATGGTTTTATATACGATGGTTCACGAAGCAGTCAGTGACTAAATGGGCACTGAATGAAAGTCATTAGGAAAACAGATGTCAACATGACTCAGGTTGGATTTTTATAAAGATGTTCTCCAGCAGAGTGTGTATATGTGTGTAGCAGATGCTGCCTCTAAGCCTTGGAGATTGAGGGGAATGTTTAAATTAAGAGATTATTGAGCTGATGTTTTGTAAAGCTAAGCTTTTAAATGGGGGTAGCAGTTAAATATTCTTCCACTCTAACTGTGTCGATTTAATTATTTATCAACCGCTCTTTATACGGCTGGCCATGAGTTCAGTGGACCTTTTAAAAATAGTCCAAACATCCAATTAGTATTGCGAGTGATGTGCTGCAGCATATCGAGCAGGCACGTCCCTCCAGCAAGCCTTCAGATGCTGGTTTGATTTTCCATACCAGATGCTGTACATCCAAGGGGCAATTTGATCTCAGAAATCTGATAACAGCGCCTCAAAAGGTTTGAAATGACTGTATGAGAGGAAATGTCAGCTTTGGAGTTGCATCCCATGAAATGATTAGATCCCTTTTGTGAAATGTGAGATTTGCTGTGAATGTGGAAACTGCTGTGACTGCTGTTTTCTGGACTATAAAGCATATCTCAACACTGAGTGACAATTCACCATAGTCTCAGACCTATGTATGGACTTCAAAACTATGAGAGACAAATCCTCAAACATTTTGTCACTCAGCTGGGTGATGCATTAAATCAAAGCCAGTACTTTTCTGCAAGCCAATACAGTCTGCAGAATATGCCTCTGGATCAACAACCAGTGAGCATCATGCAGTTGTGAGCAACCTGGTGAAGGAGATAGTAGCTCTTAGGGCAGTTGAAGGGAGAGGTCAAAGCCTGGTCTTGGGCTCACTGGGCTGGCATGGCACTGCGAACGTGATAGTGCCACCCCAAGTGACAGCAGCAGATGGTGAGAGGGCTCCCAGGTTTTACCCCACAGGGCTCCTGGGCAGGGAGACAGAGCAGCCATGCACAAAATACAAGGCCACTGATTGGACCGTGCCTCTTAAGATGCCACGGGCTGATAAGACGCTGAGAGGCGCAGCGCTTACATGCTTGAGAAGACGTATAATTATGTTAACACTGTCATTTCTCTGGGCCCTCCACTTGCCCATCATGGTATCTTATTAGGTCAGTAAATGGGAAGTCTCACCGGAGCATTGGCTAGATTTTAATCCAAAACAAAATATTTTTAAGGAGGTGTCAGCGAGACTCATTTTAGGATTTTTGAAGTTCATAATAAGCACAAAAGATACAGAGAATACTGGAATAAATCTGTGCTCCTACACTGCAAAAAACAATTATATAAATGCAAATAAACAATTGTACATTTTAATAAATTATGGGAAATTACCAGTTACAATATGTCCATAAATTATTAAAAACTAATGTGAGGCCAAAAAATGCATTGTTTTCTATTTTAACTACATGTATTCCTTCAAAAAAAGAGTATATTTTGTGAATTCATGTAGTAAAGAAATGCATTGAAACCTGAATATATGTAATTCATAAAAAATGTTGTGGACCATAATTTAAAGGGCAATGAAGCAAAATTCAGAAGTGCTTACATTTTCACAACTGAAGCTAAGCCTTTTGCTGAGACGTCTCCTTTGCTGTATAAGGAGAATCCGGCTTTGCACTGCCTTTAGTGTAAAACTGCAGAGGCACATACATCCGGTCAAACTTTCAATTACTTGATATTCTGGGTGCTAAAAGGCAGTTTCCCTTCAAGGCTTCAGCAGTTAATCTTACAGCTAGTGCCAGCATTAAGACGATAATCATGGGACATGTGACAAAAGCACAAAAACTTTCCCTAAAGGGAAGCCAAAGAGACCCTGGAGGATTTCTCCAACCAGCTCATTTGGTGGGGCATGTCCCCGAAAGTGAAGTCTCCAACTTCACTGCTCTCCATGCAGTTTCAGGACTTTTGTTTTAATTTAGTTACACATAGCCTGCAGAATATCTTACCATGTTGTAGAGTATTGTGGTCAAACACTACTGGATTACTGCTCATTAACTCTGCAGAGAACCCGCTGGGCTGTGGTTAATACATGGCCTTTTCCAGTTTCATCTTCTCTACACTTTTAGGGGTTATGTGTTGTGACAGATTCCCAGAATTAAAGAAGCACAGAACAGAATTAACTTTTCATGTATTTCTTCCTCACATCCTTGTTGTTTCTTTTTGGTCGTTGCTTGTGCAGCCCTTGGGCTCACTTCTTCTTCTGGTGTCTTAATTGCAATTTCATCAAGAATTTAAACCCATGTAGCCCTCCCTATTCTTGTCACTGTCACTCCAAGCTAGCAACCGTGGGGGACTTCAAGGGTATTTAAAGCAGCTATTGTGTGTCATGAGATAAGTCAGGAGCAGCTTGGGGAAGACTCACTCATTGTGAAACTGCAGGACCTCCTCTTCCCCCTCCGAATCCATCCTTCCCTCACTCTCTCTTTCATGGCTTTATCACTCAAAGGCTCAAGCAGCTCAGCAGAATATAAATGAATAAGAGCTGTAAGATGGTGAAAGAGGGAAAAGGTCAAGACCAAAATTGCATGTGCACATCAGCACTGGTACTTTTACAAGGACTGCTATTTTATGTTTAACAACTACTGTGTTCGGTTGTGTTGATGCAATATGAAAATTTCACATTATAGATTCAACACCCGTGTCCATGACAAATGGGAATCTCGGGATGTTGAGTTGTGCGTGAGCGTGGGTGTGTGTTTTTGTGAGTGTGCATGCCTAATGTAATGTTACTTTCAGAATTAGTATATCACATAAGATAAAGCTTTTATAATGAAAAAAGATCATGTTTAAGCAAAAGTTTGACATCTTCAATATGATTATGGTTAAGCTGGTTTGCTTAGCATAGCACAAAGCTGAGCAGTTGCTAGCTACCAGCGGGGACTCCAGTTAAACAAACAAGATATAACACCTTAATTAGTGAGCTTTAGAGGCGCTGAAAGCCAGATTGTGTCACCGTTAGACAGAGTATGGCTAGCTGTCTCCAGTCTTTATGCAAAGCTAAGCTAACCAAATGGCCTCCTGGCTGTAGCTTCATGTTTAATGGATAGGTATCCAAAGATAATCTTCTCATTTAATTGTATGCAAGAAAGCAAATAATTGTATTTTCCCGAATGTCAGACCATTCCTAAAGGTTACAGTGGTTACACACACACACGCACGCACGCACACACACAGGAATATTGATTAAAGCTGAGCTTAAAACAGTATCTTTTCCTCCGTCACCTCCTCACACACACAACTGTCCACATGACCCCCTCTACCTACCATATGCTTCACACAGATAGTGCACACTGCTGGCATTTCTCTTCTCTTTTCTTTCACACACACTCACACACAAACAATGACTCATGAATAAAAGCACAGAGAGGAGAGACAACTCACACACAGCTGCACACACTTACAAATAAAAAGTGGCACATATGTGTGTGTGTAAAAACAAAAAGGGATGAACTGCAGGAGGTGATTAGGCTTTGTGTGTTTTGTAAATGTGTGCTGATGAAAGGAATTATCTGCATTCCAGCATAATCAGAACATATGCAGGAAAAATCTGCACTCACTGCTGTAAATATGTCTTGATGTGAATGACAGCAATCATAGCCAGCCATCTATCAGGCTGGACCATATGTTGCTTTGGGTGGGGAGGGAATGAGGGCTTACCGCAAAGCCTGCCTTATCCACTGGCATTACAGTCTCTAAGAAAGGATTTACTCTTTAATTCTTGATTAGATAGAATTTTCTCCCCAGTGTGATACACCGAGCGGAGATAACCTGCTCCACTGGGAAAGTGTGTGTGTCCTTTGGCAATGCTCCCTCTCGTAAACCCACACATGCACACACTCACTCACGTACACACCAACCTTGCCCCCTGGCGTGCCATCCCATTTAGTGCCTGGGCTTTTAACACATTGTGATAGGACTATTATTAGAAGCGATGGATTATCAATCAGGGATTAATCCTGACTGATGTGTTCGCCCCAACTGGAAAAGGACAACACTCAATGCTCTACTGTTTGCTTTCATCTAAGTGATGAGAGAAGGTGGTTCTTTCTTTTTTCTTTCTTTTCTTCAGGAGGTGACATGAGAGAAGGGAGGATTTTTTTTTTCCTTTTTGTGATCAAACCACTAGTTCCACCATCGTCTCCTGCTCAGGACGTGAGGAGACCACTGAGGAAGACATTCATTTATTTAGGTCTTTCACTCATTTATCTTCCTCCCCCTCGTCTCTTTGCCTGACTGGCTGCTGAGCTGACTGACTGACTGACTGGATGCTTGGCTCCCTCTCTCACTTGACTCTCACTGGCACCTCACTCACACACTGCGTGAGCTTTGCTGAGGCTGGCGTGGAGAGAGACAGTCGGGCTGCTCAGGCTTTGGAAAGTGGGATCTCTGCTAGATTTCTTTCTCTGTCTGTTTCGGTGGACTAATAGATGAGAGGAGAGGAAATATCTGGCTCTCTCTCCTCCAGCACTGACCACTGACCATCACTACTGTGCTGCATCCATGACTTTACATACCTGGCTGGTGTATGGGCTTGGATTTATCTTGGTCTGGGCACTCTGCTTGACACATGGTGAGTAGGATTTATTTTGGTATTGAAATGTATGGACAATTTAGCTGTGTGTGCATGCTTGCGTGAGTGCGTTTGTGTGTGTGCGTGTGCGTGTGCGTGTGCGTGTGTGTGTGTGTGTAGATTTGTATGTGATAGACAAGAAAAAGTATGCTGAGCAATAATGATATCACATATACAAAACTCTTAAATTTCAAAAGCTTTTGCAGGCAAAGTAATCAATAACATTACATGCAATATGTAAATACAATATAAATACAGTAGAAGAATTGTAACAAAAATAAATAAATAAAAAATTTGTGAATGCTCCTGACCAAAACCAACTGAATGGATACCATTAATATAATGAAGGACCATGTTAAAAGAGGATTCCAGTAAACACGCCTTTGTCCTACATGTAATTGACCTGGCCGTTCACAGCTATGCCTCCCAACAAATGGTAACATCCATAGGTGGCGAACTAAATTTCCCTATAGAGCAATAATGATTGACCTAACTTGACTTGGTTGCAACCTTTGTTTCACTGAGGACCAAAAAAGAGGAAACTGGGGTGATGTTGCGTGCAGAGATGTTGCTTTGCTTGATTTGAATCTCACTGTTTTGGTCTGAGTCAGATCACCTCTGATCCCAACTCCAGACCAGAGGGTGAAGTGAGCTCCTGGACCGATTAATGATTTGGCTTTCATAAGTAGGGCAACATCCATAAAAGGAGGTAGATGAGGCAACAAATGGACACAGGTATAATTGCAGCGCATTATGAACAGCATCAGATTTTTAACTTTTGTGTAAATTTAAAAAAGGTGGCAACCGTATTAATGAACAATAACCATCAAACAAACATCACAAGATGACATTGAGCATAATACCATGATAGCACACAATTTATTACCTATTATGTAGGTAGAGATAATTCTTGATTATATCTTGCATTTATAAGTAATTTCTAATACGTTTATGGTACAGTAAAAGCTACTTTTGAGCATTAATTCATTTTAAGTTCTAGTGAAAAAGCAAAACATAATAGATAATGAGGCGAGCGAGCTGCAACCTTTCAAAATGTTCTCATGATAATTCTTTAAATCATTCTTGTTTGTCAGCTTATGCTGCTTACTTTTTCTTTCCAACTGTCTTCTTCTAGAAATGTGTTTCATAAAAAACTGTATAATAGTATTATGTATAATATTATAGTGTTGAAACGCAGATAAGCTTCACCAGCAAATTCACATATTAAACATTTTAAACATGTTCAAAACCAATAGCTGATTTTTTTTTTAAAATAGATTCAGGTCACAGTAGATTTTGATATAATCAACATTTGCATACTGGGAGAGGGTCTGGTTATAATAAATTGCATTGTGCAGGCAAAGCGGAATGTCTTTCCAGTATGTCCTCATTAGGTTGACAAATGCTCATACCGGGCCGCTTTTCTATGTTTTGTGCGTGCAGTGTGCAAAAACATCGCATCACAGTGAACTGATAAATCAGGTTGTTAGCCAGATGTAAATGACCATTTCATTGCTTATTATTTCCACAACCATTACCCAGCTCTAATGAAATACTCCAATATTTATGAGAGCTTCGACTGCATGGTGCTTCACCAGCGGGGGAATATGACACATACTCTAAAGGCTGGCATGTGCTCACTGTCCCTGTGAGGCTTTACATTGATTCCAGCAGATTTCTAAAGTGATTTTTATAAGAGCATTTGCCTGGGATTAGTTTGGTCCTGAAAGCTCCATCAGAGCTTTTGGTAGGCTATTTAACAGAGCAGAGGCACTGAGAGGCTCTTGTCTGCTCTCTGCCCTGGCACTGAGTCCACAGGTTTGCGCAGATAAAGAGGGAGGATTGGTTTCAGCCAAAGCCATCTTGTTTGTATGGGATTTTGAAAGGTCAGGCACAGGTGTGTGTGGTCTGAATTCACGGACAATCCCTTTAAGCTCTGGTGGATTTGTTCTGTTTAGGCTTAGCCTTACTTTCTTAAGAGAGAGTTAGGCATTTGGGAAGTGAGACAGTGGCTCATGACAAGAGGGAACTACACATGAAAGAAGTCTTTGGAGCATTTCATTTCAGAAAAGATATGCTCTAATATTCTGTTGTATGATGATCCAACGTGTGCCAGCTCCTCCTATAGCAGTACAGGGACCAAACCCAATTTTGGCAAATGATCACGTTAAGTTGAGATGGAAGAGTAAACAGCATAATCTAGCTGCATGTTGATTTAGTCCCTCTCAAGTCTTTCTCTATGCTGTAGCTTCTACCACTTACAGGGTGCTGAGTGGTAGAGACACGGCTTTGAGATCACAAGCTGGAGCTGGCAGGCAGACAGCTTGGCATGGGGTGTACTACTGTGGGGTGAGTCACCCTTAAGCATAAGCTATAGAAGAGAAGGAGCTGCACCTTCACTCCTCTTCTCTTCTCTTCTCTTCTCTTCTCCTTTCAAGTAGCTCCAAGATGAGAACAAATATCAAACTCCAAAGCAGTGTTCCTTGTTGAAACCAGGAAATATTTTGGAGGAATCTTGATCCGTTTTGGATGTACTTGGAATACCATGCAAAATACTGCCGTCAGTTGAACTGAAGGATTCTTTAAAATTAGCGAATTTGTTACTAGGTTTATGTGCTGTGAGTAAGAACTATGATGTTGCACTTTAAGTCTACTTCTCCGGTTGTTATTAGGATCATTTAAATTTCAGTCTATGCAGGTGCTCTTGATGGGGATTTGGGTGACTTGGAACTTGGAACTTGAAAAACATTAGCTCTTAAGAAACAGTATCAACATTACCAACATTGCTACAAAGGTGGGGCATATTAGGTTGGATTTCTACCAGTAGCAACAGTTAACAGAGACTGAAAAGGGTCTGGCAGGTAACACTTTGATGTGTGAGTTTTTAAACCAATATGGCAACCACACTGTAATCTGAATGGTCTTGAATATTTGTGACAACAAATTTGTAGCACACAGTATAATGGTGTGTTGAAGGAGACACGGCTGTAAATACAGAAAAGCTGTACAAAGAGGAGCAGCAGTCACAAATTGAAATTGGGATATGATGGACACAATGAATACTGGTATTTGTCGCAGCCTAATATGCCCCACCTTTATTGCAGTTTTTATGTTGTTTTATCTACACTACTTTTTTCCAAATGTCCTGTATCCCATTGTAGGTGTTAACCTTTTACTGGAATAATCTGTACAACTCTGAGGTTAATCTTTTATTTTAATGATGAAATCTTTAAATATTTCTATTGATGAGCAGCTCCCAGGGGTCACCATAAGTTCTGCATGGATCTCCTGCCTGTAGTACATAAGCAGGTATATAGCATATGCATTGATATCACTTGATGTTGTTATGTCTTCCTGGGATTTTGTGTATGCTAATCCACCCATAGCCCAAAGCAGGGAAGTTGCTATTGCTTATGTGGTGTTACATGGACAAGCTAGAACACGCTAACAAGTTGTCATGTACTGTTTTGCGTATTTCCCACAGTCAGTGGGCTGCAGTGCTATGGCTGCAATATCATCCAGGGCCAGAGATACGTGGACGTGGGCTGCTCCAACCCAGAGGTCATCACCTGCACCCACTCACACAAAGGCTTTAAACACCGTTTCTGCATCAAGACAGAGAGCAGTGAGTAAACCTCCATCGACAATACTTAATGACTGATGACTAAATGACTTAACTGTAATCATATTCATAATTTCTTCTTCCCTGTTTTCTGTAACTCAGTGAGCTAATGTGTCTGTGTATTATACTTACTTGAAGAATATTTATGGTGGGGCAGAAGATTATTAAATCTTGATGAATTCCCTCTGGCGTGCCACTGGACATTGGCATAATAATTTTTAATCATACTTTCATGTTAATGTTCTTTGGCAGCTGTGAATATTCTATTGCTCCTTGCACTGGAGATGGTTACATAACCTTACTTTGGTGTGCTTTGCTGAGTAAATTATAAGTCATTCATTGTTTGATGTTAAGTCAAATGGAGGATGTGGACAGCCACGGCAGGATAGTGATGGTCAGGGGAGTAGTTCTGCTGATATCCATGGAAGCGTGGACAATCCAGCTGTTCCTTTGCTTGATGTCTAAAGGATCCACTCATGTTGAAAAGGCTGATGAGGCACCTTTTCCATTTGCTCAGAGAAACAGCAAGCCCAGACAAGGACTGACAACAGCCTGTCAGACACGGTATGACAAGCACTTTGTCAAAATCTTGAAGCCGTGTCTTGGTAGTAATCTGTGGCCAGTCAGCCTGTTAATCTTCATGTGACCCCGCCAAACCCAAATCTAACAGATGCTGGTGAAGTTCCGTAAGAGTCTTAGAGTTCCCCTAGTCCCCTTTGTCCTCAGATACAAGACATCTGTCTTTAGCCCATAGCCAGTCCAGTGCCCTTCTCGCCTGAATATAATGTCTCCCGACCTACAACGGAGGTGGAGATTCTTGACTGACAAAAAAAATGTCTAGATAGGCTGGACTAAGAATTGTTATCATTATTTAAATTAAGAAGCTGATCTATTCAGGTTGACCCTGATGATCTCACCTGACCTGAACACTCTTCATTTTCAGCTTGGATTTTAAAACACTGAGCTCCGCATGTCTGGTGATGGCAGATTGCCATTTGTCTTGTAGGGGATTATAAATGACTGAGACGTTGTCAGGTGCTAATCGAGTGCAAGTACGTGATCAGTAAAATCTCATTTTTGATCATCATTATTGCTCACAATTGCATTTTAGTTTAATTTTGACAACCAGGAGTGAGAGAATTTCCAGTGGATTTGCAGCTCGCACATAAATATGGAATTAGGTTTAGGTTTGCTTAACTGGCATGCTTAAAATGTCCTTTTTTGTAATTTTTTAATAAAAAATTTAAAATTTAAATAAAAAATATATAGGCCCATTTTAAATAGAGACTTAACAAAAATCAGAATTTTGTGGCAATGCACGTTTTTATTTTCTGCATTAAAGAGTACAAAATGTAGGCTACTATTTGTCAGAGGTTTGCTCTCTCAGCTGTGAAGACATATCCTGCAGAGTGTGCCTTTAAGATCTCTAAATGTCTTCCTCATTAAACATTTGAAGTAGTCGGTGCTTACTGTTGCTTTTTTCTTGCTGAGCCAAACACCAGCTCATTGCTCTTCTCTGACTGACAGCCTGCCCCTTCTATCCCTCCAGCGGCCCTGGGTATCGTCCTGACCAGCGGTTGTGCCACATCCAGACACTGCCAGCAGCAAGAGTTGCCAGGGGTGCGCATCCACTGCTGTGACTCAGACCTATGTAACAGCGCCCCCTCCTGTCATCCAAGTACAGTCCACTACATTGGTGCACTGTTCAGCCTCTTGCTGCTGAGGATGTGGTTGTGATATGGAGTCATTGTGGCGAGGAACATAACACCAGTGGACTATGGGAGAAACATTTTGTATTAGTAACTCTCATCAATTCTCTTATAGCTGCTCATGTTTAGGGCTGAATGAGAGTTTTACTCAGTATGGTGTTATTGGCAAGCATGTTGAAATAGTAGCTTTTGTCACATTGTTAGCTTGGACTTAAAGTCAGAGCAATATCAAAATAACCCAGTGAATCTGTTTGATCAAAACAATGATAAAGGTAGGCTAAACTGATGAAGTTATGAGAATTTATTGTGTCCGCTTAATCAAATGTAACTTGAAGTACGGTACATGAGATATTATATGGCATGAAAAAAATATCTTTGTTAGAGTCATAATATCAATTCATAAAAAGTTTCAGTACAGACATCTTTTATCAGCAATGTAGATACACACTTACTTCAATTTTATAATGGCTTACATCAACTTGTACAGTAAGATGTTGTTGGGACCATGAATCCATTTTCTCTGTTAAGATTAACTTCAAGATCAAATCTTTTTGTGCAGTATGTTCTCTGAAAGTCACAAGCTATTTACTTTGCAAAATTAAAGATATTTTTTTAGTTTGTTGTCCAGTTCTCCAGACTAAGCCTGGGAAAGCACGCTGCATGTGGTTCTATGTAGGATTGTAAGAAATATTGTACAGTGAAAGCATGTAATGTTGTGAATAACTGCATTAAAATGTTTCATATTTTTCAGAAGAAAAAGGCTTTGAACTCTGTTATACCAAGACACATAATGAATGTCACATACTACAAATAATCAGAGCAATCTAAAATCAATTGTGATTCACATTCACGTGAATTCATGAGAATAAATTAAACTGTGTTATAGGCCAGCAAAAAGTGCTTAATACGAAAATGTGCAAAGCTGACATGGAATAAATAAAACTATACAAAAAATATATATAAAAGATATAAATAATATAAAACAAAAATAACCATAATGGGCTGACATAGCATGGACATAGCCCATAAGGTAAGCTAACATTCACTAATATTATACAATTAGATTATTAAGGCCATTTTTATACAGACATTTCATAGAGGTTCTATACCAGTTGAGTAGCCTATCACTGTTTCTTCATCATAAATCTGTCATGTACAAAACATACTGTGTCTATAAAATCTGTGTAAAAGTGGCGGTCACAGAAAAGCACTGCTGCAGCTGAAATTCTTATACACAAGAACAGGTCCAGCTCCAAATGATTAACTGCTCATAGCCCCACTTTACGGCTGTCTGCATGTGACAAATGTGTGGGCTAAGTGAGGTTATTATATTTTAATGTGTCAAACCATTCAAATTGTGCTATTTTAAAGTGTTGCTGACAAAGTTGTATGCATCTTTTAAGTAGGATGCAATGGTGATATTGTAGGCCTAACAAGCCTATGTTTTCTTTACTGTTTGCAGTGTAGGCCTAAATGAAAATATTTATTATTTATTTTATTAAATATGGACCCCAGAAAACGTAGTTGTTTGCTTAAGGAAACAATTAATGGGGTAACCAAATAAACCATAACTGCCAGCCCATACAGTGGATTAGATGGATCTACTAGGTTACACCCTTCACCCAGGTCAATCAGGTGAAAGTTCATCAAATCAGCACCTAATCTTGTACCCGCTGACTTTACTTTAGTTGCCTAATAAATTCATCGCTCACAGAGCACTTAATCAGCATTAGTTAAGTGATACACCAGTACAATATTTATAGATATACCTACGCAGGTGAGGTTGCCTTCCACGAAACCGTCCTCACTACTGGTGCACACACTGCAAATCGCCGCAAATGATGGTCTTTGTCCCAGAAGCCCATTGTATACAGCGGAGGAAACCCTGTGCCGTAAGCAGCCATCTTGGATAGACAGATCATACTTGAGCCAGGATAACCTGCATTCCTCTTCTGAAGAGCTCAAGAACACAAAGCTCAAAAGACTTAATTCCTGGTAAGGACAGAAAAGAGGAAATAATTCAACACATTCATTCACACGCACATAATGCCTGATAGACGTAGCGGCACTGGCATTTAAATTATGAAACCGTTTGAATAGCTTAGTTAGCCTGTGTTAGCCGGGAGTCAGCTAATTGGCAAGCTAACGGCGCTAGCTAACAGATGGCTAACACTAGGTTGATGTTTGTCGTTAGCTTCCAAAAACAGGAGATATTGCCTGTGAAAGTGTTAGAGAATACTATTGTAGGCGAGAAATGACTTGCCCAGCGATGACTAAAAATGGGTTGACAAGCGAACTAAGCCACGTTTTTAACGTTACCATAATCCAGCCACTGCAGCTAGCTGGCAAACTAGCATGCCAAAGCTATTACTAACGTTAGCTGTCGTTAGTTTGGTGTATGGTGGCTTTTGTGAAATTATGCAGAAGCAAAGTTAGTTTTCTAACCTAGTTATACTAATAAGATGACACTGTCTCAGCTGTCTGTGTGTTGATTGAGACTACCGGCTTGCACGTTGTTATTTATGCGATTTGTTGTCAAGATAATACACCCATTGATGTCAGTTTGCAGGTAACTAGCTAACGCTAATGTAGCTGTCAAAACAGCTAATCTAGGGCCGTGATTGGTATCAGACGCGATCATGTAACTCCTATCCAGGTAGTTAAATGTAGGCTTTATGTAACGTTACTTATGTTAGGTTACTTGCTTTTTGTTTGCTAACTAACAGAAGATAATTAACCAAACCGATCCTATTACTTTGCCTGTTGTTAAGCTAAGCTAGCCAGTGTCGACGAGAATCAGGCATGACGTTACACAGTGTCAAATTTAAGAGTCAACATCAGACACTCCAGTCGAGTATGTTTAGATTTATGTATAGACTGCCTCTTTATAATTCTAGTTTCTTTTATAGAAGTGATACCGTGATATCAGTTGTGCAACTTCTGATAATTCCATAGCAAACAGTGTTAGCCTCCTCTTTGGCTTTACAGTTTCTAAAAACGGAGTAGACCCTTTATGTCTCAAAGTGTTGCAAATTTGAATAGATCAGCCCTTATCTATCATAAAATGCTGCATCATTTCTGTTTCTTGTGCCAGTGCACTTTGTGTACTAGCAGGCTTGATCTGAAACTTGGATAATAAAGTTACTTGTTATTGTTTTGTATTGATGATCTTTAATCAGATAAATTATGTAAATCGTGATAAACTCATGTAGATAGTGATGATCTCATGTTGTTTTTAGGGCTTGAAAGGAGTCACGTGATTTGAATAGTGGGCCTGGACCTCATGGAGGCAATGTGACCACATGTGTTATGATTTCCTGATAGCCCAGTGATTTGAGATAAGTTGTGCATCCTCCCCTGTATGAGAAGCAGCTGTTAAGAGGAGGAAATCCTGTGTTTCTCTGGAAAAAGAGTCAGTGTGTTGCAGAGTAACAGATAAATGCTGAGGCTGCATACTGGCCACATGATCTTGATTCGTCTTCTCCTTGATTGATACTCATGGGGTTTATTTCTACATAATGGGCACATGAGGGGGGGTTGGGTATCACAACTGAATCACATTTTGTTTTTACTCTGGTTGTGGATACCTTCTTTGATGGCTCACCTTCCAGCAACGAAAACAATCACACTGAGTATAGAGATGCCACATCAGGATCATGTGGCAGCCTGGATAAAGGCCCTTAAATGTTACTCTATGATTTTCTCGCTCTAGTTAAAAAATGTAACCTATACATCAGTAGATTTAGAATTAATGCATTAACTAATAGGAATCAATTCCTTGAAGTCAGCACACGTTGCATTGTAGTGTAAACATGCTTGTTATAGCAAGTGTACATTGGTCATTATTTTATTAAAATTAGCCATATTTTGCAACACAGTAGTAATACCATAGTTAACCAGATAGTCTATAATCACAGGAAGTTCATACCCATAGCTTTTCGCTTTTCGTTAGCTAGTTGGAGTGAGCCTGAGTACCAAATGTCAGGTCAAGTTGCAGTGTTTGTTGGGGACTGAGAGTGAGCCAAGTCTTTTCTGGGGCCATCAACAAAGACACAGTCACAGCCTGCTCTGGTATCCCTGGGAGTTGTTTACATATTTTCAGATGATAGCCACTTCTGCTGTTATTAAAGTTAAATGTTTTTCAGAAATACCGAAACATACTTTGGTTATTAATTTTATCTATAATTTATTATCATGTCCCTCTTCCATGTAACATCTTTGCACATAAGTATACTCTTCTTTTGTGAGTTTTGAGGCATCACATTTTTAGTGCTTTGCATAAAGGGTTATTAGCCAGAGGCATTATGACTGTCAGTATGTGCCATCACCTGACCCAACACCATTTTTATTAAAGTAAAGGTTTCTGTGACAACTTGACCTGAATTAACCTGAGTATCCTTGAAGGCCCTCTTCATTTCCTTTCTAACAAATTAGTGTCTCAATCCTCTACATTTCATCCACTTACTTCCTTTTCCCATGCTACTGAAAGTCTTATCCTTTTATCTCTTTTTTTCATCCCTGTTTCCATTTCTTTCTACCATCTTGCTCCATTTTCATTACTTCTCTTTATATTCTCACATCACACCCTCATCTCCGTCCACATTTATTCTGGTTGTGTCATCATTAATCTGAGCAGTCAAGCGGCCACTGAATTGCAGATGCAGAAGTATGAGCATAACACCAGAAGTAGCCACTGATGTGGCACGGCGATTTCAGTTTCCAGGAACTGCATTTACTGCAGCACAGTTTTCACTGATCTGCAGATCAGAGAAAAGCACTAGTTTAAGCCAGTCTGTCTTTGTCAGGGACATAGAAACCATCCGACTGCTGAATGATTATGCTCCTGATTGTTAAGCCTGAATTATTTACTTACTACTCTACAGCAGAATACTGTCGAGCAGCACCTTGATACAGAATTATAAAGCAGCCTAACTACAAAATAGCCTTGATGTCCGGAGACAGGCCCTGCAAAGTTACGATGGACGGCTTCTTAAAGCAGCTCCATTTATGTCATACATGACCCGATCATTTCTTTATGAACAAATCTGTGCATCTTCGAAAAAGAGCATCTCCCCTTGGTTGTTGAACCAGTGTGTTATAGTGATATTGTGTGTCAAATCTGAAGGCTTTTCCCTGCATACTTTGTCTGTGTGCTGCGAGTAGAGTGTGAACAATGAAGCATCACTGGGTATCAGATAGGTGTCAGGGCTATTTTTAGCCTAGCTCTGAGCCTGTGATGCTGGAGGTGTTCTTGTGTACAAGTAAGTGCCACACTGTTTACTTGTAGACAGACTGTGTCCAGTGCCATCAAAATTAGCCAGTGTAACTGTTTTGCTTTGTCATTATGAGAAGAAACAGGTAGTTGAGACAGCAGGGGTTGTTTCTGTAGAGAAATACTGGCTTACTGATAGCTGAGGAGCTTTATTCACCCCTGTGTTAAAATGATCCATCACCTCCCTTGTCTGCATGCCCACCTTAGGTTATTGTAACTGTGAATGCTGCCAGTGGTTCTTTGTTAGCCACTTAAGTTAGCATAGAGCAGGCAAATGCACTGTATTCTGTACATTTAATAAATTCATGTCACATTATTATTGGATTTGAATTACATAATTTTTTGATAATGTTGATAGATAAATAAAAGAAACCCTGACTGCCATGTAATTAATATGTAGATATACATTACTGGCAGTATTTTTAAATATCCCAGGCAATGCCCACCAACGGCTGTCACTCCTACCTCAGTGGCTGCTGTGACTTCAGACTTTATATTCAGGCGGAGTTCCATCCTTTAGTGATGACTCAATGTGCCACTGCATCACCTGAGTTGATTTATACTAGGTAGAGGTGTGGATATTTCTCAGTGTTGAATCCATTAATGTTGGTTTGAACATACTAAACTTTGTTAAAATGAATATCCTGGTAATTTTATAGTATTAGGCTATATCAGTAACTAACAGGTGGCACTTAAAAAGTGAAGCCTCAGCACAGATTTTGACAAAGATATGAGTTTCATTACTTTTGTGGTAGTAATATAACAAGCACTACGTATTATTGAAGGGGATTAGGAATCATCAAAACATTTACTTAAATAAAATCTTAACGGTTTTGGATGCTAATGATTAGTAGTTGGTTATACACTGGCAGAAAGGATTCAGTGAAACAAATCTCTGCTGATGTTTACGTTTGCTGATGAGTACGATAAGTTTGTAGGTTAACAGCCAGGTTGACACAAGTGCTGAAGATGCATTTAAATGTTATGGATGCCAAGCAGTTTGTCATCGGTCACCGAACTGCTAAAAGTACTTTTTTCTGCATTTACTTATGTAAGCAGAAATGTAAAGCATGCGGGAGGTGCAGTCGTAGCACATAACCACATGGAAAAAGTATTAGTGTTAAGTTTTCGGTTACTTGTACAGTCTCAGCTGTTGCGTCATAGGAATTTATTAGGAAGTGAATTAGCTTGTGATCATGAGAAACATGCAGAAATGCTATTTATGGCTTTAATCAAGATATTACTTGCTTATATTAATGAGCACCACGTTTATAATCGGGTAACTTAAAATTGCATAATATAACTTGGTCATTACTGAAATGCTGAAACTGAAATAATTTGATGTGTTAATTCATATTCCTTGGCCTTCCCTGGGCTCACATTAGTGAGCTGACATGGTCCTGTAGCTCTGATAGGATTATGGCTTTGTAGAATACCACTGGCCCTTACATGACCAATGTAAAGTCACGCATGTACAGTACTTGCAGTGTTTATTTGCATCCAGACATGCTCTAATTGGAATACTATACTATACTCTCTTTTAGTTTAGTGAAATAAGATTGTCTCTTGTATTTAAATTGACAAGACATTTGTGTAAACTCTGTGTAGCGTAGGGCTGGACAATAAAACAATAATTATCGCAATATATTTTTCTATAACAAATGTTAAATATTCAATAAATGTTTGATTTTATTCACCTGAATCATACACGAATTAGGACTTAATTTTTTTATGAAGATGTGTCTTTTGTTGAGGAAAAAGGACCTGAGAAAAGCTTCTACTTAATTTTTGTCATGCGTATTTGTTGACAAAGATTTTTATAATTGTTTTTAATGTTCAACCTCAGATATGTGAAGTGATCCACTGTTTGGCATCAATTGTTGATTGAGTCTTTAAACTCAAAAGAAATAATGATTTGATATTTATCGTGATAATTATCGATATCAAAAGATATGAAACTGTTTATCATGATAACATTTTTGGCCATATCGTCCAGCCCTATTGTAGCGTAAATGTCTTTTCTTTTTCTTTTTTTATATATAACATAATGTATTATATTCACGTGGCAAGAGAACCTTAATTAAACCAATATTAGACCTCATGCCGATGTTAAGTAACCCAGCATGCAGAATGAATGTGGTCTGTGTTGAGTTTTAGTGCCACAGGAGACTGTAGTCATTGTTTGATAAAAGAATTCACTTTTATTCCACACTCATCCACATTGATGTATTGCTCTTACTTTGCATTACAAGAAAATCTAACTAGGATACCAGCAAATTGCCCTTGATGACAGTTTGTGACTAAACTTACCCGTCTTTTCTCTCTTTCAGAGCCACAATGGCCACTGCACCGTACAACTACTCCTACATTTTCAAATACATCATTATCGGTAAGTGAGCAATGCCAGTCATCACCAGAGTGTGGAGGCTCTCCAGTGAGCTATGTTGATGAACTTGTGGGAGCAGTTCACAGTGCACTGATATATCACTTTCAAAAGAAGGTCCTATGAATGATCGTGTGAACCTGAACCTATATTTTTCTATACTGTATGCCACCTCGTACACCAGCCCTATTCAATTGGCGGCCCGCAGGTTGCATCCGGCCCAGAAGCAACCTCCAACATTTTAATCTGCACAGTCTCTCATCCACGGCATCTGTCTTTTGGTTTTACACAAGCACAGTGCTAGCTCGGCTAATAGCTAATTGTTACAAACAAGCTAAAGGGAAAGCTGTGTGTCTGTAGTCTGAACTGTTTAGCTTAGTTTGCCACATAGATTAAAATATTGCATGTATAAACTCAGCTGCTGGCTGAGACTAACCAGCTCTCCTACCAGCAGCAGCAGAGGGAGCAGGAGGGGTACAGGAGGAAGGACTGATAGGGAGTTCATTCTTTCTAAACTTCACTCAGTATTTTAATATCAGGAAGATTTATTTTACTGACATTTTAGATTTGTTTCCAGTGAGATATTAGTGATTTTGCTATTGTAAACATTTAGTTCTAATAAAATATTAAATTATTTTTTAAAAGACAGTTATTTAGTGATGCAAAAGAATTAATTGTATCGATAAAGAACTGAGCCAGTGAAGAGTATCAATATGAGTGAATGAATATAATCCAAATGATACTCTTGTGAGAAAACGTCCAGCCCATCTCAATTAATATCTTTTTAAAATCAGTTACTAATGCCATACTACTCTGTGCAGCATGTGTAATGAATGTTTAAATGCCTTTTCCCCCTATTAGAATTAGGGCTGTCGCGGTGACGTAATTTCCACTGCGGTAATATGTTGGGGCTCAACAACGCAGTATGTGGTATTGTCACATTTTACATCAATGAAGTAATTTGGTGCCACAGAGCGAGCCGCTATCAATAGCTTTATGGACAGAGCAAGCTAGCTGGGAGCTAGGCAACAACATTGCCAAGCAAACTCATTTTTGTAGTTTGACTGTCTTTTTCACACGTAACGTTGGCTTTATCGTTACCTTCAGGGCATGTCTATGAAGTCAATTTACATACCGCAGCAACGCACACACACCCCAACACACTCAGTACGCTTTCAAACGAACTCTGGTGCAGTTCGCTTGTGATGTGAAAAGCAAACGGAGATGTGATCTAAGCATTATTTCCAAAGCTTAAACCACTAATGAATCCATCCGCTGATCACACTTCATTCAGCGTTAAAGTGCTGCACAAACTTCTGTCAGTCACTGGAGTTTGATTTCCCCATGTGAGTCCTGATAATGCAGGATGACAATCGCCAAAGCTACAGGTGTGAAAGCACCCTAAAATAAACAGTAAAGCAACACAAAACACCACAACACTTCCAAGCTTCCAAGTTTGAAGTCAGGTCACGTACAGCCCATGGCGATCCACCCTTGAACCGTTACAGCGCTTGTTACGGTTGTTGAACTTTTGAAGCACTAATTTATTAATTTAATAAGTATGAACATTGCGTTTGTTACGGTGCTTGACATCCTCCGCGGTAGGCTTGACCAATAGCACAGTATTTCAATTTTGCAGTTATTGCGCCAGCCCTAATTAGAATTATGTTGGACTTTTGCTGATATGTTTCTTAACACACAAGGGCTTTAAGTTAACATATTGCTGCTTTTACTTGTCGTACATTTACGGACAGACATGCATAAACACACACAGCTCTGGGCTATTAAACCACCTCTTCTGTCAAACCTTAAACACCCTGCCTTAAAGCAAACCCTCAGCTTGGACCTTAAAGTGCTGTGTGAATGAGTCTAGAAAAGAAGCATGGAGAGATGGCTACTTTACTTTTTGCTTATGCTACTTTTTTGTCCTCTACAACTGTGAAGGAAACTTAGTTTGTTTTTTAAATGTGTTTTTAAGATTTCACAGTCCAGCTTGTTGGCGTTGCATACAATTTTCTGAGCTTCTTAGTGTATTCAAATCACTGATGGTTTTTCCGGAATTCTCATGTATGGGAGTTTCCGTCTGAAAGCATAATTCCCAAAATATTGGAACACTTCTAATTATCAGTGTGTTCAGTCATAAGTATATCAGTAGTATCCACCGCTAACAGATGCATTTGTGTGATTCTGCTTATTTTGTTGAGTTGCTAAAGGACCATTAGGGTCAAAGTGGTTTTAAACATGTATTGTGAGATTCTGTAGGACGGTGCACATTATATTTAAGTCTCTCGGTCTGTGTCTCTTACCACTCCACATGAAATTTTAATTATCGACTGTCACAGAGGGGCTGCCTCATCATGCACACTGCAGGCTTGAATAGAGAATTGTTGTTCTGTTGTTTCCTTGGTTGACCTGAGTTTCTCTCTCTCTCCACAGGGGACATGGGGGTAGGGAAGTCATGTTTGCTTCACCAGTTTACAGAAAAGAAATGTAAGTGCTGCGCTGATTTTTGACCTCCTTTTTCATCTGTGCTTGTGCCTCAGTGTATGTAAGGTTGCCAGGTTCAACTGGAGTGCCTCACTTGCTTTAGATTTCTTTA